TCCCCAGCACTGCCCGAACCCAGAAACAAAACAAGAAAGCACAATAGTAAGGTGGCTCAATGGTAGAGTGCTTGCCTTGCATGCCTGAGGCCCTGGGTTCAATTCCTCAGCACCACATAAGCAAAAATAAAAAAGCCAGAAGTGGCGCTGTGGCTCAAGTGGTAGAGCGCTAGCCTTGAGCTGAAGAGCTGAGGGACAGCGCCCAGGCCCAGAGTTCAGGCCCACGACCGGACCCCCCCCAAAAAAAGAGTTGTGTAGGGCGGCCCCCAAGCCTCCGACGCCAGCGCGGGAAAGGCGGGGCAGGATCGCAAACCCAGGGGGCAGGCCCGTGTGGCTCCGCGGGGCCCAGCCCACCAGCGCCTCGCTCCCCGCAGACTGCGGCCTGGCCCCGGCCTCGGCGCTGACACGGATCGTGGGCGGCAGCGCGGCGGGGCGCGGCGAGTGGCCGTGGCAGGTGAGCCTGTGGCTGCGGCGCCGCGAGCACCGGTGCGGGGCCGTGCTGGTGGCCGAGAGGTGGCTGCTGTCCGCGGCGCACTGCTTCGACGTGTGAGTCCCGCCCGCGGCCCCGCCCACGAGCCACGCCCACTCTCAGAACCCTCTGCGGCCCCGCCCCTGGCCCCGCCCAATCACAAGCCGCACCCGTTTAGCCCCCGCCCCTTTCGTTATAGTTCTTGATCTGGCCCCACCCCTGCCCCCACCCACCAGAAAAGCCCCTCCTCCCGGGGGCGCAATGCGCGGCGGGTGCTGGGGTGGCTGGGCCGGGGCCGACGCGGTGCACGCGCGCCCCGCAGCTACGGGGACCCCAAGCAGTGGGCAGCTTTCCTGGGCACGCCGTTCCTGAGCGGCGCCGAGGGCCAGCTGGAGCGCGTGGAGCGCATCTACAAGCACCCATTCTACAACCTCTACACGCTCGACTACGACGTGGCGCTGCTGCAGTTGGCCGGTCCGGTGCGCCGCAGCCGCCTGGTGCGCCCCATCTGCCTGCCGGGCCCCGCGCCGCGGCCCCCCGACGGCGCGCGCTGCGTCATTACGGGCTGGGGTTCCGTGCGCGAGGGAGGTAAGCGCTGGGGGCGTGGCTCGCCGAGGTGGGCGTGGCCTCCGGCCGGGCTGGGCGAACGGGACTGTAAGACTCCACGGTGTGGGCGGGGCGTCCATGCCGGGAGGGGCGGGGTCTCCGGAGTGGGCGGGGCACTCGGCCCGCGCTGCCCGCCCCGCCCCACCCCTCGGCCGCGCTCCCGCAGGCTCCATGGCGCGGCAGCTGCAGAAGGCGGCCGTGCGCCTCTTCAGCGAGCAGACGTGTCGCCGCTTCTACCCGGTGCAGATCAGCAGCCGCATGCTGTGCGCCGGCTTCGCGCAGGGCGGCGTGGACAGCTGCTCGGTGAGCCGCCCGTCGCCGCCCCCCCCCCCCCCCCGTCCATCCCGCTTCCTGGGCGCCCGCTCGCCCGGGGCCCGGGGTGGAGGCTGGCCCCCGAGCGCCCTTTCCTCTCCCCTCAGGGAGACGCCGGGGGACCCCTGGCCTGCAGGGAGCCCTCGGGCCGGTGGGTGCTCACTGGGGTCACCAGCTGGGGCTACGGCTGCGGGCGGCCCCACTTCCCGGGGGTGTACACCCGCGTGGCCGCCGTGAGGGGCTGGATAGCGCAGAACATCCAGGAGTGAGACCCGACCGAGGACCCCGAGCTGGGCCGCCCCGCGCCGGCCTGGCACCGCACAGAAGCGCAGACCCCTGCTCTCCCATCTTGAGACGAGGACTCCCCCCCACTTGGGGTTAGTGCCCCCTCGGCCCCCCATAGCAGAGCCCTCCAAGCCACCCACACCCCAACACTCCCCCAACTTCCAGGAACCTGCCACAAGTGTCCCCAGCCTGGAGGCGGCCGGGGCTCTAGGCTTCGGGAATAAAACCCGCGCTGACAACCTTGAGCCCCTCTCTTTCTTCTGGGCCTTGTCCAGTCTGTCGTGTGGGGGCTCCCCGCTCTTGCCACCTGGCAGCAATGGCTGAGTCCCTGGCTGACGCCCAGGCCCAGAGCTGGGGGGCTGGCGTGGACTCCCCTCTCCCCGGCACGCATGCTCCCTTTGTCTCATGTCCCGGAGTCTGACCTTCGGTTCTAGTGAGTGTTCCCTTCTCTAGGCCTCTCCCTGGAGTCCGAGCCCTCGGAACCAATCCCCAAAGCCGGGTGGGAGACTCCGCCCCAGGGGGAGTGGCCTGTCCTGCCAGGGACCCCTGAAGGCTTGGGCTCACAGCTTGGGCTGCTGGACAGCTGCAGACGTCCGTCTCCCACCACACTGCAGCCCCTCTCTCCCCTCCCAAAATGGGCTGATGATCTTCTACACCTTCAAGAGGCCTCCTTAAAATTTTACCTAAGTTGGGACTCAGATACTATGAAGCCTCAGTGGCTTTATTTAGTTTGCCAGTCCTGGGCTTGAACTCAGGGTCCAGGCACTGCCACTTGAGCCACAGCACCACTTTTGGCCTTTTCTGTTTATATGGTGCTGAGGAATTGAACCCAGGGCTTCAAGCATGCTCGGCGAGCACTCTACCACTACGCCACATTCCCAGCCCCTGGCCCAGTGTCTCGTGTCGCAATATAAACTGGACAGTGGTTCTAAATGGCCTGAACAGGGCACTTAACATTGCCCAATGTGACCTTGCCAACTTCATAGTCCAAGATCCCCTGCCTTCAGTTCCAAGCCCAATCAAAATCTGGTAACTCATCAAAAAGCCCCCAAGGATACTCCTCCCCCCATAAATCCTTCTCAGTCTAAGATCCTGAAGAAACCTCCCATTTCCTCTTTGCCCTCAGGCTCCCTGCTCGCTCTCCCCTTACAAAAGCTAACACCAGCCTCCTCTGCACCTCCCCCGCTGTCTTTACCCTACCTCAACTCCACTTCCACCACCCCTCCGAGCGGCTGAGGCAATGGGGTCTCCAAAGGGCCTGTGCAAATCAAACCAGACCCCACTGTCTACTGTGTAAGATTTCTTTTTTTTCTTTGTCAGTCGTGGGACTTGAACTCTGGGCCTGGGCGCTGTCCCTCAGCTCTTCAGCTCAGGGCGAGAGCTCTACCACTTGAGCTACAGCGCCACTTCCGGTTTTCTGGTGGTTTATTGGAGATAGGAGTCTCACGGTCTCTCCTGCCCGGGCTGGCTTTGAACCGCGATCCTCAGATCTCAGCCTCCTGAGTAGCTAGGATTACAGGCGTGAGCCACCAGCGCCCAGCTGTGTAGGATTTCTTTACCTCAGCTTTCCTCAGCCCTTGATCTCTGGAGGGCCGGGACCACAGAGAGGCGGCCACTCAAGTTCATGGGGCACCCTACATCCTACCAGCCATCAAACCCAGGCTGGTCCCAATCTCAAGCTGCCACCACCACCAGGGCCCTGCCCTGCCTGTGGGAAAGAGGGACACTGGAAACAGGATTGTCCCACGTGAGACCCTTCCACCCTCAAATTCAGCAGTCCGGGGGCTGGGTAGGTGGCTCAGTGGTAGAGTGGCTTGCCTTGCGTGCATGAGGCCGTAGGTTGATTCCTCAGCACCACATAAGCAGAAAAAGCCAGAAGTGGTGCTGTGGCTCAAGTGGTAGAGCGCTAGCCTTGAGCTGAAGAGCTGAGGGACAGCGCCCAGGACCAGAGTTCAGGCCCACGACTGACCAAGAAAATAATCAACAGTCCCATAACCCCCAGATGGCACTGACATTGCATCCCAGCACACAGGCCTGGCACCACCAGGGCTAGCTATCCAACCACACCTTCCACCTCAACTGCTCCCTGTTCCTATAGAACCAAACAGCCACTTCAGCTTGTCCTCATGCCAAATTCCAGGACGTACAGGAACACACACTGACAGGACTAGAAGGGCATGCTCACACCCTGCTTTAACTGGTGCGGGTCTATGCTTCCATACAGGTGTTTGCCCGCTCAGGGTCCCAGCGTCTGTCCGTACCCTGGTTTATGTTTCCCACATCTCGGCTTTCCAGGCAACCAGGTCCTTGACGGATAGCTCCAACTTCTCCTCCTTCCATGGCTGGATCCAAGGCCAGCGCAGCCTCTCTCTCCAACTGAATCAGAAACTTTCAGCTGTCTCCAGAGCATGTTTACCTTGGTCACCTCCTCCCAGAGGCACATTAATTCCAGGGCAGCTGAGGTGCCCCAAACTCCGAAGCCTTGGAGCTCCCCAAGGTCAAAGCCTATCCACAGCAAGGGGAAGGAATTTGTGTTCCAGTAGGAGAAGCTGCTGCTTTTAGGATCGCAGAGTCCCAGACACAGCAAGATGACCCCAAAACACAAGCTTCCCACTCAGGGAAGCAGCTCATTTCTGGGCTCCCTGGTCAGCTTGTCTTGGGGGCTCTCCACTTATGCTGTTGTTAATAGTATTTGGCCCCTGACACAAATCTTTTTTCCCAAAGTTCTGAGTGTTTGTTATCAGCAGTGTCTGAAAAAATGCAGACAGTACTCTCTTTAGAGATTACTAGCAACCGTCCCTAGCATAACCCATCCTACAGCCCCACCCTGGACAACAACCCTGCTCTGGCCAGCAGCCACTACTCCTTCCTGCCGACATGTCCTCCTCTCAACAAGTAAGAAAAACCAAAAGAAATATTAGTTGCCCTGCCACGAATGGCATTTTGCTTTGCCCCAGCTGCCAGCCTGAGGACCTCCCCCCCTCCACCCGGCGCCACCCAAGATACATCCCCAGTAACCCCAACTGTCAACACTCCTCAACCACCCTTCCAGTACTTCCTACCAACCCATAATACCCCCAGAAAGTGACAGGAGGCTTTCCCTAGCCTTTTTTCTCTCCTGGCCTTTTCAGTCTAATAAGTAGCAGCTTCCATGAGATGAAAACCGGGGTGGGGAGTGGGGCGAATGATGGGAATCTCATCTCCAAGGCCTCCTGTTCCCATGGTCCACAAGTCCCCAGACACGCCTGGGACCCCCACCCAGGCAAGGGATCCAGGGATACAGAGTAATCACTTCCCACCGTCACTCAGGAGGAAAAATACACAAGGGTCTCTCGGCCGCTCTTCGGTTAATTTATTAGTCCACTCTCAGGTGGTCACCTCAACAAGTCCAAACCAGGGCTCTCTCCTGGGCCCAGGCCATACGGCTGAATGAACCGGGCGGGTCAGGGCACCATGCTGCCGGATCCCAGGCAAGCAGGTGGTGTCGCTGGGTTCCCACGCTTTGGGAAGCCACAGGGGTTGCCAGAGGTAAGTGGGGCCGCGGTGCCGGCTGTGCCGCAGGCATCCCCCGGCCCCATCCCCGCCTCGCGAGGCCGGGGCCGGGCTCCGGCCTCCTGGTCACATGTTGGCTCGTTCCCGCTGCAGCCTCGAGTTGTAGGCGCGGGACACGGTGTTCCAGGCGTCCATGTAGCGGTCCATACACATGGCGATGCACTTCTGAGGACGGGAGGAGCCACGCAGCGGTGAGAGCCTGCGCGCCCGCCCGCGCCTCGCCGCCCGGGCTGGGGTGCGCGCGCGTCCGGCCCCGCCGAGCCCCCGCAGGGGTCCCGGCCCCACGGCCAGCCCCACGCCGGCCTCCTACCTGCTCCGAGTTGTCCAGGGAGCCCCCCGGCTTCCCGATGCACTTCCGGAAGCACTTGTCGGTCATCCTCTGTGGGCACGAGTGAGACTCAGCCCGGACGCCCGCCCCCGCGGGGAGCCCCCGGCCCCGGCGCGCCCCGCACCTGCAGCAGCTCCTGCGCGTTGGCCACGGCGATCTGCACCTTCACCTGCTCCATGATGAGCCCCGGGTCCAGCTTACCGCCGCCGGAGCCCCCGAAGTCCGAGCCAAAGCCACTCTCCATGGCTCCGCAGTCAACTGGGCCGCCGCCGCCGCACGCGCCGACCCGCAGCCGCCGGAAGCCAGGCCGCCCGTGGCACCACGGGAAACTATGTTGGAACTACAACTCCCACAAGCCCTCCGCGCAGCCCCGCCGAAGTCCCAGGAGCAAGGATTCCCGGGAAATAAGAATCTAAACTACAATTCCCAGAAGGCTCCATCGCAAGCATTTCCCGGCCCCCATCTTCCTGCGCAAGCGCGCCGCGTAACGGTGGGGGGGGGGGAGATCACGTGACGGCGCGCCACGCTGGGGCCTAGGCTTCCCGGGGCGCCGCGATCCACTCGGAGACAGCAGTCAGAATCAAAAGTGTTTATTGGTGTTGTACAAAAGTTTCCAGTCATAAAACGTATATTACAAGTCATTGGAGGAAAGGAAAAACACCACACGTTTGGCATGCATCTCAAAAGTAAAACCTCCGAACCTAACGAGCCCCTCCGGGGCGCGGGGCGCGGGCCGCTCCCGTCCTGCCTGGAGCAAAGCTGAGCGCCCTGCCCGCCGGCCCGGCCCCGCGGCGGCTGCCCCCGACCTCACAAGCCCCGGGAAAGGAGTCCCACTGCCAGCCAAGGAGTCCTTAGCGAGGGGGCAGGGACGGAGGGAGGGCCGTGCTGGACAGCACACCCCGAGTCCAGCGCCGATCCTCAAACCCACGGGACTCCATGCCGAGACTCGCTCAGGCGTCAGATCCACGGTCCGTGCGGTCCTGCTGCGGAGGTGGGGAGGGGAGGCGAGGCGGGGCCTTCAGGGCCACCAGGTCAGGCCGTGATGGTGCAGGAGGCCAAAGTGAGCTGGCTGTTTCCCCGGCCCAGGCCTCCACCAGAAACTAACTGGGAAAGATACATACATGGTCCTTTGCTGGAAAAGGTAATCCACAGCCCAGAGAAGTGTGGCCAGGGAAGAAATCCAGGCCTTCTGGAAGGGAAGGCCAGGTGCACTCCAGGGCTAGAGATTGGTGGCAGTAGCTGGTGCGTTCCCTGCTCAGGCCTGGCCGATTGACAGATTCTGGCCACAGCTGTGCCTAGGAACAGCCACAGTGGGGCAGGGAGGTCCCACCGTCTGTGGCCACAGCTGCTCTGTAAACAGTACGAGTGTTTACAGACTGGGGACAGCATGACCTCTGGCTCAGTAAGACTAGCTGCACTTTCTGAAGGAAATGTCATTGGGGAAGGGGGGCTCAGAGCTGGTCAACACAGGAGCCCCACTTCCCTGTGCCACCCCTGGAAGGATGGTTGGCTTCTTGTGGCCTGAGCCACTGGAGCAGGGGTCTTGGCAACCTGTGTACTGACCAATGTAAAAAAATAAATATCCATTAAAAAAATAACTTCTGTGTCTGTGTGGGAGGGGAAACAGTATTGGAGAGGGCTGCCAGGTGCCAGAACCATTTGAAGGATGGCGGGTATCAGCGTGTGTGACTTAGGAGGGTCACTGCAGTGCAAGTCACAGATAAAGCCACAAAGCAGACACATTCAGTGTACGTGAGGGGCCCAGCTCTGCAGGTTAGGATCCACCCAGCGCGCGCGCTCAACCGCTCTCAGACTCCTGGCCTTGGCTCCTGAGCTCAGCAAACCACTTTGACCTTTTCCCTTTTTTGCGTACTGGTGATGGCTTAGAAAGGGGGCACCCCACTCCCCAGGCTTCCTCCTCTTGCCTTCTTCTTCCTCAGGTTTAGGAAGGACAATGGATATGCCTTAGATCTAGAAGCCGCCCTCCGGTCTCCTGCCCATGCCACCACTGGCAGGAATGTCACAACCTTCAGATCCAGGGCAGTCAGGGCTGGCCGCTCCTACTCGTCACCCAATTCTGGGTGCAAGGATGGTACCCCAGTGTCAGATGTAGAGCCACCGAATAGTAACAAACTGGTACCCCACCCCACCCCACCCCCTGCCTGGCTAGAACCTGGATTCTGAGTTTTGTTTTTAAGATTTAAAAAATAATACCCATGGGGCTGGGAAGGTGGCTCAGTGGTAGAGCACTTGCCTTGCATGCCTGAGGCCCTGGGTTCGATTCCTCAGCACCACATAAGCAGAAAAAGCCAGAAGTGGCACTGTGGCTCAAGTGGTAGAGCGCTAGCCTTGAGTTGAAGAGCTGAGGGACAGCGCCCAGGCCCAGAGTTCAGGCCCCACAACCGGACCAAAAAAAAAAAAAAAAATACCCACATCTACCAAATCCCAACTAGTTTCCCACTATCCACCGCAAGACTCAAGGGGCCCCTCCTGCTGCTCCTAGCTGACGCCCGCCCTCCACACACAGGCAGTGAGACCCAGGAGGGGGGGCTCCTGCAGCACCCCACTGGCCCTGCCTTGGTGGATGGGAGGGACAAGTCTCCTGGACAGTGGACAGTGGGGACGTAGGGATCGAAGGATACAGGAAGCACAGCAGAGCCAGCGCCACCTTCTGGCAGTTTGCTTAGAAATTGTCTAGAAATGTACCAAGGACTAAGGGAAGCCAACCATAAAAAAATACTCTTCAGTAGCTCTGGGAAGGCCGAGGGCTGCCGAGCAGCTCACATGACGTAGCAGCCCCTGGACGTGGTCCTCGGGTCCCCCTGTGAGGAATGGAGGGTGCCTGTCAGCGGGGGCAGTGAGTCCACACAGGGAGGCGACACCCCTGCCCCGGTGACACACCGTTTCTAGAGCTTTCCATATTCCATTACCCTATCTGTGTGAACTGGACTATCTGTCCCCAGAGCCATTCTGACTGGCCAGCACCTCAGCCTGCAGGAAGCATGGGGAGTGTTGGGGGGTACACTCTGCTCTGCCAAGGCCCACCTCTTGGGAACCCCCAGGCCAGCCCTACTGTCACAGAACCCACCACCCCAGGGCTCATAAAAGCTCCCAGTTGAGAAGTCAGGGGGCTCCTCAGGTGTTCTGCTGGGGCCCCAAGAACATGTGTATGTCTACGTGGGGTGCAGTGCGGCCCCTCCCCTACCTGCTGGTGGAACAGGTCCTCCTCTCCGAACTCCGCTTCCACCTCCTCCTCGCCGTTCTCATTCTCCCTGGCCACGGAGGAGGACTGCTTCACAGCTCGCACAGCTACCTCCTGGGAACACGAGCCCACCCAGGCCAGGAGCGCCATCAGAACTAGCGCCCAGCCAGGCCCCGCCACCGCACACCTGTCTCCAGCAGCCCCACGCTGCCTGAGGGGGCTCCCGGCCCACACGCACCTCTCCGTCGGAGTTGACCAGGATGGTTCGGAAGCTCTCACCGGAGCCCCAGCTGTTCTGGCTCTTCCACACCAGGGTCGATGGGGGGCTATGGGCCACCCCTGCACCGGCTGCCCACACCTAGAGGACCAGGGCACCCATCAGTTATCTCTGGCCCTGGGGTTAGAATTAAGAATGCAGCCCTTCCAGAAGACCACGCAGGGTCTGAGGTGCAGAGCTTTCTGCAGAAAGACTCTGTAATCGGGGGCTGGGCCACACAGGAAGTCCCTTGGATTCCAGGCCCCTAACTGGGACACTCCTTGAGCCCTGCTACTCCGATGGCAGGGGATGGGGGACTGGCACCTTCACCAGGCTCCTGGAAGGCCCGGACACAGTGCTGACCTCGGGGCCGACATCCCGCCCCCCTTCCCTGCTGTTACTTACCGTGACGGTCTGGCCAGCCCGCAGGACGTACTTGGGTGTGAACTTGTAGGCAATCTCATCGCCCTCAAGGACCTGCCTCTTGATCCTCCAGTTCCCTAGGGACTGGTCCTGGGGACGCAGACATGTGTGAGACCCACAGCCAGCAGCACAGTGACACCTGAGTACCACCACGGCCTGGCCCACTCACCTTGTCCGAGTTGTTCTTGAGCTGCACGAACCTGCCCTCCAGGTCCACCTCCTCAATGCTCACGCTGCCCACGGCGGAGGCCTGCTGGGCCAAGCGGAAGCTGCCGCTGCTGCTGCTGCTGCCTGAGCCGATGCCGCTGGAGGCGCTGCCCGGGGACTCCTCCACCTCCAGCCGCCGGCGCTTGCTGCGGCCCGACCGGCCCACCACGGACGCGCTGCTGCTGCTGCTGCTCGACGTGGCCCGCGAGATGGTGACCCGGGAGGACGGGCTGGGGGACAGCTTCAGCCTGGCTCAGTGGGGAGGCAGGGGTGACTACAGCTGACCCGGCTCCGTTGCTTCGCTCCCTCATGCACCCCGTTCCCATCCTCTCCCACCCCTGCTAAGCCTAGCCAGCCCTCCTGGCCACCCTCCCCCGGCACCTGGCTTCTTGTCCCCCCTCCTCCCCCGACCCCCTCACCTCTCCTCCTCGCCCTCCAGCAGCTTGCGGTAGGCGTTAATCTCCATGTCCAGTGCCAGCTTCACGTCCAGCAGCTCCTGGTACTCGGCTAGCTGCTGCTGCATCACGTCCCGCATCTCCGTCATCTCCTGCTCCTTGGCATCCAGCATCTTGCGGAACTTATCACGCTCGCTGGCCAGGGAGCTCTCCAGCTCCCGGATGCGGTCCTCGGCTGCGCTGGCCTGCAGACAGCAGCCCGGTCAGCAGGGGAGACCCGGACTCCGGGGCGCTCGGGGCAGTGCATGCGTGGGCAGCGCAGGGCCTCACCTGCTTCTGCAGGCTCGAGAGCTGGTAGCTGAGGGACTCCACGCGCATGCGCGCCTCCTGGAGCTCCTCCCGTGCGGCACTGGCCGCCTTGTCGTTCTGGTCCGAGCTCAGCTTGGCGTTGTCCAGCTGTGGGGGGAGGAAGGGGGGGTGTAGGAGGTGAGGGATGAGGGGCATGGGGGCGAGGGGGCAGCAGGAGGTGAGGGATGGGGGGCACAGGGAGTGTGGGATCCCCATGGCCGCACCTTGGCCTGGTAGGTCTGCTCCAGCTCCTGGCGGTAAAGCTGCACTTGCTGGTCATGCTGGCCGCGCAGCTCCTCGAGCGCCCGGGCCAGCTTGGAGTCGAACTCCTGCTGCCGCCCGCTGTCCACCTCCACCAGGCGTCGCTCATGCCGCCGCCGCGTCTCTCGCACCTCCTGGCAGGGCAGGGTGGCCGCCGCACACCAGTGAGCCCCAGCCTCGATCTCCCGGGGGACCCCACCTCTGGTCACCCACCCCGGGGCACTGCACAGCA